GCTATCTTGGCTTGCGGATCACCCGGGACAGAGCACGGCGCACCATCACCTTGACTCAGTCACACATGGTGCAGCAGATCCTTCAGCGCTTCCGCTTCACGTACTCCTCGCCTCAGTCCACTCCTCTACCTACCGGTCACTCGCTCTCAGCTCTGCCTTCGGATGAGTCCGTAGAGCCGAGTGGCCCGTATCCAGAGCTTGTGGGCTGCCTCATGTACCTGATGACCTGCACTCGACCTGACCTTGCATACCCTCTTAGCATCCTTGCGCGCTATGTCGCTCCTGGCCGTCACAGGAAGGAGCACATGGATGCCGCTAAGAGGGTGTTGCGCTACTTGTGCAGTACGTCGGGCATGGGGCTAGTGCTTGGAGGGCGAGACCGAGTTGTACTTACTGGACACTCAGACGCTTCTTGGGCAGACGACCAGGCTACTCAGCGGTTGTCTCAGGGTTACACCTTCAGCCTTGGCTCTGGCTCAGTTTCTTGGCGTTCTACACGCTCTTCTTCTGTTCTCAGCTCCAGTTGTGAGGCTGAGATCTACGCCACAGCCATGGCTGCCCAGGAGCTACGCTGGCTGACCTACCTGCTGACCGACTTGGGAGAGCGGCCTCGTTCTCCTCCAGTGCTGTACGTCAACAACAAGGCTGCCATTGCCTTGTGTGAGGAGCACAGACTGGAGCACAGAACGAAGCACATCGCCCTGCGGTACTTCCTTGCTCGAGAGCTGCAGCAGCGCGGTCAGCTTTGTCTGCGTTACGTGGCCACTGAGGCCAACCTTGCTGATGTGTTCACCAAGGCGCTTCCGCCTTGTGACCATCAGCGCTTCTGCACTCTGCTAGGCCTTGTGCCTACTGGACCTCACTTACTTACCTCTTGACCTTGCTTGTACTGTGATCACTGTATCCCATGCTCTGTTATAAACCTGCATGTGAACTGGTCTTGTGACCACTTGCTTGTGCTCGGAATTTGTGTGGTATCCTTGAGATCCACCCTGAGCTTGTTGTTGCCTTGCTTTGCCTTGACTGGTCTTGTGACCCCTAGGTCTCCCCCACTTTGCCTATGGGGGTGTGTCAAAAACTATATATGTTGTGTTTGTGTAGGCTGTAGTGGGTTAGCCTATAGGGGGTCACAACATTAGGGTTTCATATTTGTACTCACATTCCGAGCTTTCTAGTTCAGTCATTCCAGTCTGTTGATTCTGACACCTTCCTTTCCCTCCCCTGACCCTCCCCTCGTCGACCTTCGTGGGCTGACTCCGTCGTCGGCCTCCGGCGATGAGGGGAGCAGTGGGACGTCGCCTGTGGCGCCGACCAAGGGCATCGCCGGTGGCCGACAGGACGAGCAGCAGGTCGACAAGCAGCAGGTCGACCTGGGAGTGCAGTCGACCTGGATAAGGGGGGAGCCGGTCGAGGAGGTGCAGCCGACTTGGGTGAAGCCGACAGGGGAGCAGGCAGCAACGAGGTCGACCCAGGAACAGTCGGCGACCTGGCGATCGACCGGGAAGCCGACCAAGGTGCAGCAGGGCAACGAGGACGGTAGTAAAGATGAAGGGGAGCAGTTGGGCGACGAGGAGCTGGTCGACCAGGAGGTGGCCGACCAGTCCACCGACCATGACGCGGTGAGGGTTCCGCCTGAACCCCGGAAGGCTTCGGCGAACCGCTACTTCCCCTCTTTTTGGTACAAAAGAGGGGGCGAAGGCCATTTGGCCTTCACCCACGTTTTCATTTCGAACTTTCAATTTCAAGTTTCCCACCCTCCCACCCTAGCATCACGTACATGATAGCTCTTAATGTTGTATGATGCTTGGACGATAAAATCTTGTACTTGCCTGTTGAAATGAGACGTTGCATTTGCAAGGCAAATCGCAAGCTTTCACAATTTTCAATATTAAAGGTAATACCGTACATGTATTACTAGAGTAACCGTGACTATTGTGGATCCCTTCAGTTACATTGTTGCGATGCAAAACCTTCGAGACAGTTGTGACCCGCGAGCAGTTCGCAATCTCTCGATCCAAGCCGTTCAACAGTCGCGATAGAGTCACAGGTGTTGCTTGCTACTAGCAGGTGCAATAAGGCTATTTCTTCCTGAATGTTAAAACACCTCATTCCAACCAGGCCCTCAGATTGGTTTTGGGGCTAGGCTGGAAAATCAGAGTTGGTACAAAAATTTACTCTGAAAATCAGAGAAAAATACCAATGTACACTAGAAACAAACAGCAATTTCCCATTTTCCCTAAAAACAAGTCTGATGATTCAGCCTTGGTACAAAAAAAGAGTCTGAAAATCAGATTTTTTTTGCCAAATCAGAGAAAAAAGTCTGACTTCTGAGGGCCTGATTCCAACGCTCCCATTTGTTCCTGAATATGTACCACATGATACTTATTGACGACTCTGCTCATGTCCACGTAGTACTGAATCTTCTAACGTGGTAGATAAGCTCCACCTTGCCCTTGTCAATTTTGTCCTTCACGAAGTAGTAACGGAGGGCGATGTGTTTCGTGCAGTCGACGAAGCCGGGCTTGTTCGCGATGTTACTTGAGCTTTGATTCTCGTCGAGTAACTTGAATGACCCGTTTATCGTGAACTTCGCTTACTTCAGAAGCTCCATCAGGTACATGTCAAAACTGATTTATATGTTTGTAGACTGTAGAGGGGGTAGCCCATACAGAGTACAACACTTTAAGGGTTTGGTACTTATACTCTTATTCCTTGCTAGTGAAGTCATTCCTGCTCGTTAGTTTCTGACATGGTATCAGAGCAGTAGGTCCGTAGGACCGTTTTTTTTTTCGGGCCCACCATCAACTGCGGTTGACGTGCTACCTCACGCCCTGCCCTGCGTCGCGCCGCCCGCGCACGCCCTGCCCTGCCTTGCGTTGCGCAGCCCTGCGCACGCCCTGCCCTGCTCTGCGCTGCGCCGCCGCGTACAACCCGCGCGTCGCCCGCCTGCAGCCCGCGCGGCCCGTGCCCTGCCTCTGCCTGCCCGCGCGCTGCCCCCGTAGGCCTGCGCGCCGCTCGCTTGCAGCCTGCGCGGCCCGCTTGCAGCCCACGCGGCCCGCGCGCAGCCCGTTTGCATCCCGTGCGGCCCGCCTGCCGCCCGTTCGCTGCCCGCGTGGCCCGTGCACTGCCTCCGAAGCTAGTGCGCTGCCTTTGCCGGCTCGCGCACCACTCCCCTGCAGCCCACACGACCCGCGCACTGCCCCTCCGGCCCGCGCGCCGCCTTTGCCCGCCCGCGCGCCGCCTTTGCCGGCCCGCACGCCGCCTGTTTGCAGCCCGCGTGGCCTGGAGAGGTGGCGGCAGCAGTGGTGGCGGTCGGGGAGGACCCTTTCGGAGGGGAGGCTCTGGTGGTGGCCAGAGGCAGCAGCAGAAGCAACGTTTCCGCGAGACCCTCACGCCCCAGCAGCTTCGTGAGTGGTATGCTCAGCGTGAGCCATCTGGGGGTGCTGTTCACTGCCCGTATGTTATTCGCACAAGTTCCCGCACTGGTCAGACATGCTGGAACTTTCACAATGCATACCGCTGCTTCTCCCGTCTTGATGACGCCTGGCACACACAATTTCCTGACGCACCAGAGCTCCCCCGCTGGATAGACCTGCTTAGGCACGATGTCGATATCTTTGCTCTTGACTATGATGCTATTCTTGCTGCCATGTATGCATTGACTGTTAGTGCTGAGGGTGACTGTTACTTGTCTGTGGTCCCCGACCCAGGTATAGAGGCTGCTGCTCTAGGTGCTAGTGAGTCTGCTCTCTCTGGTACTGCGCCTGCTGAGGCCTTGCACACTTTCACGCTTGACTCAGGTGCTTCTCGCAAATTCTTTCATGACAGTACCGCACTCACACCACTCCCTGCACCTGTTGCAGTCTCTCTGGCTGACCCCTCAGGGGGCCCAGTTCTTGCACGTTCCACCACTGTTCTCCCGTGTCCGGCGGTTCCGTCTGGCTCGCTCTCAGGTCTTCAACTCCCCTCGTTCTCGACGAACTTGGTGAGTAACGCTGTCCTCCAGGATGCATTGGTTGACACCTTTACCCTCGGAAAGCAGCTTGTGGCGATCTGTACATGCTCCCGGACTGGCCGTCACTTGGCCACGTTCAGACGTCGACCAGGGGCGAGTCTGTACACACTGATTACTGCCCCTCCTCAGGTCGCTGCGTCTGGTCAGGTGTCCGCGTCAGGTCAGGTAGTCACCCCTTGCTCGTGTCGCGCCCTCTCGCACCAGACTCTCCTCTGGCACCACCGCCTTGGTCACCCCTCCTTGCCACGCCTCCGTGGCATGCACTCCCGCTTCCTTGTCTCTGGCCTTTCCAGGTCTCTGCCCCCCTCCCGCGCTCGCATGCCCCTCCCTGCCTTCCCTGCATCGAGGGGCGGTAGTGCGCCGCTCCTCACTCCTCCTCGTTCTCCCCCGACAGAGGCTACCCTACAGACTCTCCACATGGACGTGTGAGGTCCTGTGAGGATCTAGGATCGACCTCAGAAAAGATGATTTGAATTGAACGATTCACCTGGGTACAATGCGAGGCTATATAAAGGCTCGACACAAAGCAGGTAACCCAGGTGTTACGCGAATGTTCTGAGGGTCGCGAAGCGTCCCGAACAGAACCTTCCCGAACTCGGTAGAAAGCAATTCGGTGGCAACCGAATAGCCTAGAATTCGGTGTACGCAACCTAGTTCGGTGCCTATAACTATAATAACTATAGTAAAAGCAACGAACCTAGGAAATCAAGCAAAAGCAAGCAAAGCAAAATAATGCTAATAAAGTCTAGGCAAGCTAGCAAAGCCAGCATAAGCCGTCGTACTCTCACAGGCCCAGCCCGCGTCCAACGACAGGGCCGCGAGCTGTATTTTCTGCTGGTTGTTGACGACTACACGCGTTACACCACGGTCTTCCCCTTGCGCAATAAGGAAAAGGTCCATGATGTTTTGATCCCTTGGATACGCACTGTCCGTCTCCAGCTCCGCGAGCGGTTCCACACGGGCCTCCCTGGTCGCTCGTACCTCCATGATCCATGCGGCTGCTCCCCATTTTCTATGGCCGTTTGCGGTCCAGTACACTGCGCATCAGCTTAACCTCTTGCCCCATGTCTCCTTGCCGGAGACCTCGCCTACACTGCGTTGGACGGGGGAGGTTGGCGATGCGTCGGCGTTCTGGGTCTGGCGAGCTCGTGCCTTTGTCCGCGATACCTCCGCGGACAAGCTCTCCTCATGCGCCATTCCCTGTGTCTTCCTTGGCTTCCCCCCTGACGCGCCTGGCTGGCAGTTTTACCACCCCACCTCGCGCCGTGTTCTGTCCTCTCAGGACGTCACGTTTGACGAGTCGGTTCCCTTTTACCGTCTCTTCCCCTACCGCACTTCCCCTACTCCTCTCCTGCCCCCCCCCCCCCTCCCCCCGCCGCATTTCCTTGCTTGAGGTCCCCCTCCGGTAGACCCCCTCCACCTTCAGGGTCCTGCTCCTCCAGGTGTGTCTCAAGTAGACCCTCTCCCCTTGGTTGAGCCTGTCGAGGTCACTGGTGACTCTGGTGCTGCTGGGGGTGTTGAGCCTGAGCGTGCGGAGCCTGGGGGTGCTGAGCCTGCGAGTGTTGAGCCTGAGCGTGCGGAGCCTGGAGGTGCTGAGCCTGCAGGTGTTGAGCCTGAGCGTGTGGAGCCTGGGGGTGCTGAGCCTGAGTGTGCGGAGCCTGGGGGTGCTGAGCATGCGAGTGTTGAGCCTAAGTATGTGGAGCCTGGGGGTGCTGAGCCTGAGCGTGCGGAGCCTGGGGGTGCTGAGCCTGGGGGTACGGAGCCTGGAGTTGTAGAGTCTAGGTGTGTTGCGCCTCGAGGTACTGCTTCGCCAATACGGGAGCCTCTCTCACCTTAGCAGCTGCGGGAATGGTACACTCAGCGCACCCGCCTTCGGAGTGGCGCTGCTGGAGAGGGAGGCCTTGGAGTGTTGGTGCAACCCTACGGTTTGCACTCGGCTTGTTGTCCGTGTGTGTGCATGCGTGTGTGCATGGAATGGAATGAGGGCATGAAATAAATATATATTTCATGCTTATAATGGTGTGTGTATGATGGGTCATGATGTCGAGTGTGTGTGTGTCAAGTCAATAGCGAGTTATCGCTAGTCGCGTGTTACGCGGTCATTTTGTGTGTCCCGCGCGGTTTCTATTTTGCCGGCGGTTTCTATTTTGTCCTGTGTCGAACGTTCGGCGTGTCGCAGGTGTGCGCAGCAGACCCATCAAGAACTCAAGGATGAGTTTGTGATGAAGAACCCGAGCCTTGGTTGCAAGCTTCAAGTGATTTCGAAGCTCGCCAAAAGGGTACACCTCAAGATATTGAAGATAGTTACATTACTTTGTGTAGTGTAACATTTCAGTTGGTGTAGGCCCTTGTGAAGGGTAGTTTCGAGACCCTTTTTGGTTGGGGACAGTGTGGCACTGCTCTAAATCACTGTACCTTGGCTCTTGGGGTTTGTAGGAGCTGGGAGTCATTCCCAACTCGTAACTCTTCCTAACTCTTCCTAGAACTTCCTAATTGTGTGTCCTAGGACTATGTTGCTACCATAGTGACGTTCGCTCAAACCGATGTTGTGTCGTCAATTCTGAATGAAACCATGCAAACTAAATTGATTATTGTAGGCGACATTAAGATGCTCTAGATCCAAGTTGAATGAGGTCATTTGGAGTTGTGACCATATCGCTATGAACGTTTAAAGCTGCCGTGCAGAAATCCGACTGTGCACTCTATCTTTCCTATGTTCTGGCACATTGGAGCCTACTGTGACTAAAACATGGAGCTGACAGTCCTGGAGATGCTGGGGGTACTGCTGGTGCTGGAGGTACCAGCGGAGCTAGAGCTGCTAGTCCTGGAGGTGCTCACACTGGAGGTACTAGAGCCGCCGGAGCTGGTGGTGCTGTCAGTACTGGTGGTGCTGGTGGTGCTGGCACTGCTAGTCCTGGGGGTGCTCGTTTTGGAGGTTTTGGAGGTGCTCACCTGCCGCAGCAGCTACGCGAGTGGTACACTCAGGGCTGCCGCCTTCGGAGTGGTGTTGGTGGGGTTGGAGGTACTGGTACTGGTAGTGCTGGTGGCGCTGCTGACTATGTTGTGTGTTGTCACTCCGACTGGAGACGCGGGAGCTGAAGGTACTCGAGCGGCCGGAACTGGCGGTACTGCGGACTCTGGAGCTGGAGGCACAAGAGCTGGTGACCCAGGAGCTGGGGGTACAGGAGCTGGAGGTACAAGAGCTAGAGGCCCAGGAGCTGCTGGTACTCGTACTGGAGGTTGTCAAATTATATGTTTTATATTATATATCTCTAGGTTATGTAGGGGTGATTTCTTAGAGGGTACAACAAACTTCTCGATAGTCTTGTACCCCCCCCCCCCCCCCCCTTACCTAATTGATCATTCATTCCTCTCTAATCTTAACATGGTATAGAGCAGGAAGATTCCTAGGGCCCACAACAGAAAACGAAGAAAAAAAAAAAAAAAAAATTCCTGCCCGAAGCGCGCTTCGCGCCTCCCCTAGTCGCGCCTCGTGCGCTTGTTCTTAACGGCCCGTCGCGGCCCCCTCTTAAGGTCCCCTCGCGGCCCCCTCTTAAGGTCCCCTCGCGGCCCCGCTTAAGGCCCCCCCTTCGCAGCCCCTTTTCGCCCCCCCCCCCCTTTCGCGGCTCTGTCGCCGCCCCTTCGCGGCCTCGTCGCCGCCCCTTCGCGGCTCCGTCGCCGCCCCTTCGCGGCTCTGTCACCGCCCCTTCGCGGCTTTGTCGCCGCCCCTCACCGCCCCTTCGCGGCCCCTCTAGGACCCGTCGCGGTCCCCTTCGGCCTCGTCTGCAGCAGCTGCCGCCGCCGAGCCTGCAGCAGCAGCCGCCGCTCGACCTGCAGCAGCTGCCGCCACCGAGCCTGCAGCAGCAGCCGCCGCCCCATCTGCAGCAGCAGCCGCCGCCGACCCTGCAGCAGCAGCCGCCGCCGGACCTGCAGCAGCTGCCGCCGCCGAGCCTACAGAATCTGCCGCCACCGAGCCTGCAGCAGCAGCCGCGGCCGAACCTTGCAGCAGCAGCCGCCGCCGGACCTGCAGCAGCTGCCGCCGCCGAGCCTACAGCAGCGGCCGCCGCCGACCTGCAGCAGCTGCCGCCGCCGAGCCTGCAGCAACAGCCGCCGCTCGCCCTGCAGCAACTGCCACCGCCGAGCCTGCAGCAGCAGCCGCCGCCAGACCTGCAGCAGCTGCCGCCGCCGAGCCTACAGCAGCGGCCGCCGCCGAGCCTGCAGCAGCTGCCGCCGCCGTCACGGCTGCCTCGGCCCTGCCCTACTAGAGCCGCACTGCCCTGCCCAACCGCGCTACTGCTGCTACTATCACTGCTACTGACGCTGCTACTGACGCTGCTACTGACGCTGCTACTGTTCCTCCTACTGTTCCTATGGCTAGCCCTCCTGTGCTAGCTTTCGATGCTGAGGGCCGCCCAGTGAAGTTTGACACCTGGCTAGATGACCTGCACCTCTTCCTACAGCTCACTGCCAAGGAGGACATTTCACTGTACGATCACGCCCTAGGCCATGCTACTGCCCCTCCTACCACTGCTGACAGCACTCAGCGCTCGCAGTGGCAGACTCGTGACGCCCACGCTCGCTTTGCTATTCGCAACTCCCTGCCGCTAGATGAGCGCGAGCACTTTGGCCAGCACAAGACTGCTAAGGACCTGTACACTGCTGTCGTTGCTCGCTACTCCTCACCTGCTTCTGCCGCACTAGGCCGCCTCTCTCTCCCCTACCTGTTCCCTGACCTGGCCTCCTTTCACACTGTCGCTGACCTCATCACCCACCTCAAGACTAGTGAGGCCCGCTTCCGCGCTGCTATGCCTGACGAGTTCCTTGCTAGCAACCCCCCACCGCTTTGGCTCACTCTCTACCACATCGTCACCCGCCTCCCTGACTCTCTGCGCGCAGTCAGGGATCACTTTCTAGCTCGCTGCCCCACTGAGCTCACCATTGCCCTCCTCGAGAAGGAACTCCTTGCAGCTGAGGCGAGTATCGTCGCTGTAGGTGCCTCTCGTGGCAAGGCCCGCACCCCTTTCTTTGAGGGGTGTTCCCCTTCCCCCCTTCTCCCCTCTGTCGCCTCTGCTTCTGCTGTCGACCTCCTTGGTGCTGAGAAGGTCGGGACCGCGTCTGCTCCGAGCGGGCGCCGCAGGAACAAAGGGGGCAGGGGTGGGGGTGGCGGCGGGGGGGCGGGGGTGGAGGCGGTGGGAGTGGAGGAGGGGCTGGAGAGACTAGTGGCGGCAGTGGGGGTGGTGACGGCAGCGGCGGAGGTGGAGGCAGGGGCGGGGGCGGCAGCGGGGGCGGAGGTGGTCGTGGCAGCGGCAGAGGAGGAGGTGGTCGAGGAGGTGGCGGCGGCGGTGGTGGTCGTGGAGGCGCTGGCGGTGGTCTGAGCCAGCAGCACACTCCGTCGCTCCAGGAGGCCCGTGAGTGGTATTCCCAGCGCCCGGGGGCGCGTGGCTTTAGCTGCACGTACGTCATCCGCACTGGTGACCGCACTGGTCAGACGTGTGGGAAGCCGCACCCCACGCACCGCTGTTTCTCGCGCCTTGACGACGCTTGGCGCGCTCAGTTCCCTGACGGCGCTGAGCTGCCCCGCTGGCTTGATCTGGAGAGGAAGGGAGTTGATATCTGGGCTTTAGACTTTGATGCTATTCTCACTGCCATGTATGCGATGTTTACTAGTGGAGAGGGTGCTCAGTACTTGCGTGTTCCGCCCGACCCGGGCATTCTGACCAGTGAGGCTGCTGCTCTAGGTGCTAGTGAGTCTGCTGCCCCAGGTCCTGGTGAGGCTGCTGCTCTAGGTGCTCGTGAGTCCGTGCCCCCTGGTACTGAGTCGACTGCAGCACTGCACACCTTCACACTGGACTCAGGTGCTTCTCGCTGTTTCTTTCGTGACCGCACTGTCCTTGAGCCACTTGCTCGGCCAGTTGCTGTCTCCCTCGCTGACCCCTCTGGGGGCCCGGTCATTGCGACCTCCTCCACTGTCCTTCCTTGTCCTGCGGTCCCGTCAGGCACACTGTCAGGTCTCCACCTCCCCTCGTTCTCTACGAACTTGGTGACGGGTTGTGCGCTCCAGGACTGGGGTGTTCACCAGTTCACCCCTGCTTACGAGCGCGTGACACACTGCACGTGTGCGCGGACGGGCCGTCACCTGGCTACCTTCACTAGGCAGCCGGGGTCGGACCTGTACACACTGACCACTGAGTCCCCTCAGGTAGCTGCGTCCGCGTCTGCGTCAGGTCAGCTGTCGGCCCCCTGCTCGTGTCGCTCTCTGGCGCACGAGACTGTCCTCTGGCACCACCGACTTGGTCACCCGTCTGTGCAGCGCCTTCGTGCCATGCACAAACGGTCCCTCGTTTCTGGTCTTCCCGGGGTTCTCCCTCCCCTCCCACCCCCGCCTGCTCCTCCCTATCTTCCCTGTGTCGAGGGGCGGCAGCGCGCCGCTCCTCACTCCTCCTCCTTTCCCCCGACGACTGCTCCCTTGCAGACGCTCCACATGGACGTGTGGGGCCCAGCCCGCGTCCGTGGTCAGGGTCAGGAGAGGTACTTCCTGATAGTTGTTGACGACTACTCGCGCTACACCACGGTCTTCCCCTTGCGCACCAAGGGTGAGGTCCCTGATGTCTTGATCCCTTGGATCCGCAGAGCTCGTCTCCAGCTAGGCAAGCGTTTTCACTCGGACTTTCCTGTCCTGCGCTTGCACTCTGACAGAGGTGGTGAGTTCTCCTCCGACCTCTTGGCAGCCTACTGTGCTGAGCACGGCATTGAGCAGTCGTTCACGCTTCCGGCCTCTCCACAGTAGAATGGGGTTGCTGAGCGCCGCATTGGCTTGGTCATGGAGGTCGCTCGTAC